GATTGAAATCAAATGACCCTCTTTCCCTGCATTGTTAAAGTAATTCTTATGTATCAAAAGACCGAAAATATAGCACAAAACTAGAAAAGAGGAAAAAAAATTAAGTAGAATGTACTTACAAAGCTTGGTCAATGTTATTGATTAATCGAGCTGAATCTTTGAAGTATAATGTGGCAACTTCTTCAACAAAATTAGGGTTTGCATCGTCTTGGAGATCTTCCAACTCCATGAATTGTTCGTCGAGATATCCCTATACATACATTTCCCGTTAGGTTTTAAATTGTTTTCTAGTTTATTAGAAGAAATTTACAACTAGCACGACTATAATTACTATACAAACACTAAGAAAGAAAATTAATAAAAACCTGATCAAAGAGGGACTGCTTAACGAGTGCCACTTGCCTCTGCATTTTGCTTAAGTTTAAAGAAAATTTAACAATATGTGAGAAAAAACAAACTTTGTCTTTTAGTCTTAGGTAATTCGAGTGGCAATGCAATACTGAAACGGTGTACATCTGAGATATATATAGGAAAAGAAAGAATATAAATAATCTCATATTACATTTTTTTTAAAGAGATATTAAAGTAGAAAAGAGAAGAGAATATTTGTAAAATGATGGGAACCTGCAACGTAAGGGACATGAATTATGTATTCTACTAGAACAATAAAAAGAAATTGTGTATTCGTTATTATCAGCTTATTTGGACGACAAATGAATGCATTTCTCCATTTGTTTCATTTTTATTTATTTTTATTGTACATGTAATCGAATGGTATCTCACTTCAAATAAGATTATATCTACAGTAACATGTTTATCAGTTTATGTGTTAAGTTTTGAATATGAGATTTCAAGATACTAGAGAGTTACTCATTGTAAAATGTTCAATCAAATTTGTATACATTTTGAAAGGAAACAGAAAAAAACTAAAGGACTGTAGATGATATATCTAATGGAGAGAAAATATTATTCAATTGCTTCTAAATTAATAAAAACTTGCACCCACCCACTTTTCCTAATTACCTATCCACCAAGTTCATTAATAGAACAATCAAAGGATCTCAGGAATGGTGAATAGTTATGTATATTATTTAATTATGTACATCAGAGAAACATGTACATTTCGTATTTGGAACCTAAAAGCTAAACGTTGTTACTATACGAAACACATCTTTGGAACTGGGGGCCAAATATATACTAATAAAATGTATGTGGACAAGAATTTGTCTGACAGTGAAAAGAAAAGTTATAACTTGAAAAAAAGTATACATATCAAGAGAGATATATTCTTAACAAAAATGACCATTTCCGTCTTGATTAATTACAGAATATTTTAGACATGTTGCTCACAAATTTTCGTTAACATCGTTTTCTTAATTTTTAGTATTTCGATGGTTGTGATTTCCTGATTTCCATAGTATATATTTCACCGTTGCATTCAAACTAGCATGTAAATATAAGTTAAATAAATGGGTAAAATAAAATTTTAGTAATATTTTTGGAACAAAAAAATATAGGAAATAGCTCTGTAACAAACGTTCTTCCTTATATCTTTATCTACCGTTTTTATATGAAAAAAAAACAACAAAAAATAAGATATGAAAGTGTGTGTGCAGTTGAGAGGGTGTTGCGTGCCAAGGAAAGGCTAGCTCGTGTCCTGTCTCTAGTTTGTTTAAAATCTTCCGAATAATTGGTAAATGTTTCTTCAAAAGGTAATGGAGGATTTGATAGACGTGAAGAAAAGAGGATACGATACATGAGGCCAACGAAAAATAGAATAGGCCATAATATTTCTGTTATTGGAAACAAGGAACAAGTATCAAGTATCTAAAAAGGAAAAACTGAACCAAAAGCAGAGCACATAACAAGTGTGATCTAAATGATTGACACAAAGACATATAAGATCTTTTTATCATTACAGCATAATGTGTGGCCTCCTCTCTCTGTCTTTCTCTCAGACAAGCATCGTGGGATCGAATTAGAGATGAGAGAGAGATTAATCGTATACACAGTTTGTTGCTTTATTTATTCCTCCGCCCACCAAACCAATCTGTACATAAAGACTTGTCTAGTACATATTTTAGGGGGATGGGAGTGGGTTTAGAATCTAAGTTTTGTTATTGCTTGCTGTCTCATCTCGATTATTCTCCTTAATTCCGACCTTCCCTGTAACAACAAATACCGTATACCAAAAAAATTAGGAAAAGATGAGAGGTTTAACATCATAACGACAAAAGTGAGATGTTAATTTACATACCAAATGTTATTCTGTTTACATTTTGTTTCTTGTAAAAGAAAAAATGTGTACTATAAACGGATGAAATTAGTGACATTTATGTATATTTAGTTTGAATGCGTTAGTTTTATTAATAAATAAAAAATCAAAGTACCAATCACGTTAAATTCCATAGAGTATCATTTTTATATTTTTTTTAAGCAAAGAATTACCTTCCTTTTTGCTTCTCATGTTTTTTTTTCTTTCTATACCTAAGTTTAATGCTCTCTCTAGCACCGTGTAGACAAAACTATTCACCTCTTTATTCGAAATTGAAACAAGATTATGAGCTATGTTGAGCATCTTTCTTACATGGATAAATAACATGTAGTTAGAGATAATTTGTTCTGACATGATCAAGATGACACATGCATGTTCTTGAAGATTAGCATGCCTTCTCTAACTCTAACCTACGGCTACCTTCTATCGTTTGAATTTTAGGTATGGATATTTAACCTGCTTAACCATAAATAGATAATTTTATTTCATTTTTTTTGTAAACTCTTTTCTAAGGTGTTTCTTTTTAATTTTAAAGTTTATTTGACAAAAAGCTCTACCTCGTATGCATCATATTTGGTATAAATGAATAATTAACCCGTTAGAAGAAAATATGTTAATATTTAATTTCTATATACTATTGGGAATTTAGTATACTGTAGTCCATATGCTAGGTTCATAATATGACTTAGATCCATATTCAAGACAAAATCAGTCTTCTGTGGTTTAGAATGCTAGCCTGTCCATTATGTTCCATATGACTGAAAGATTAACAGATGTTTAAATTGAATTTTAAAATGATAGATATTCTTTGGAAAGTTGTCTTGAGATTTTTGTAGGATACACATGATGCGACAATTTTTCCAACTAATTACAAGTAGGTATTACCGTATTAGCACCTAACTAATTTTCTTTTGTAAAGGGCATAATGTAGACTGGTTAGTGATTGAAGATGACTAGTTAAAAATTAGAATACTGATACGGAAACATAATTTGTTTTAACTCTACGTATCACTCAATCAAAATTTTCTTCTCAATAACATAAAAAAGTAAACTATTTCAGAGCTGTAACTTCAATCATCCCTCACTCTTTTAGATAAAGTATATGCTAATCACATTTATTTTTATCCTCTATCACTTTCATGAATGCATTATACTTCGCGATATTATGAGCATGATTCCCCAATCCGAAAAGCTATAATCCCATATAATTATTAGAAACCATATTATATCGGCTGATAGCGACTAAACATTATCGTAAAAGTAGATTAAAAAAATAGAGCCGAGTTCACGTTAAATCAAAGAGAACCGTCTTCCGACATAACATGTTAATATCCAATTTCATTTACTCATCCCAACTATAAAAAGTACTCTTCTTTGAGTAGAGCTGTCGTGGTTGAAAGTTGGAGCAGAACAATCAGTATAATTGTTTTTGAGTCTAAATGTGATAGGTGCAAACATGACAGTCTCTACGAGTAGTAAGATGTTATCAAAATTTTGAATAACGTGTGTATTTAGTATTTACAGATGATGTTGTACAACCACGGTCCACGGGAAACAAACTTAAATACTACTCCATCCTATTCCTAACGACGTTTAAGTCACCGGAAGTTTCGTGTTTACGTTTACAAAAATAACAATATGGATTAGTTTTATAAATCTAAACAATTGTACTTTATAAAAAGATAATCTAAACAATTGTAAATGTAAAAGATATGTTGGTCAATCAAGGGCTACAAAAAAAGTCAGTTTTTGGTAACAATTAGAGCCCCTAACTATTATTGTATTCAACATTTTCTCCATTTTGTTTCTTTCAACTATCTTAATATAATCACGACATAACCGTGCACTTGCAGTCATTTAAAACTTTATGAATCTAAAGTTTAACATTAGAAACTGTAGAACTTTTCTCACTAATAACTCATCACTCTTTAATTGAGACCAACGTATAGAATGGTGAATCAAATTTGGTAGGAAATGTTATCTAACTTCAAATGATTGATATATGTTCGATTGGATTTGGATCCATTATGAACAATAACTTCCGTACTGGTCGTTCGAGAAGCGAAAGAGACAGAGATATGAGGCACAAGAAAGACACATTTTACTATTTTAGCACTAGAGTGTAGCTTGTTTTGGAATACTTCATCAACTTATTGGGGCAGAATTGCAATCATTTACAAAATTCGACTTTAGGGTCCCTTTTCATTCTTTTTAAATTATTCCCAACGCAGCATTGATTCTCTCCTCACTCCTGATTTGATATGGTTTTCTCTTTTTCGTTTTTTTTTGCCGTAGCTGAAAGCAGCTTCACACCAAAGAACAAATCCTCCCTCTTTTTCCCTTTTTGTTTTTGCTTATATCCAATTGAAATGTTCTTCCAGTAGAACATTAAACAGTAGAAAATGGTTGAACGGTCACAATAAATAACTCATTTGTAACATTTTTTTTTCTTTTTTCCTAATTCTCTAAAATAATAATAACAATAAAATGAGGGATAATATTGTAATGTGAGCTTAATATTATGCAAGTATGACGTGATGCTGAGAAACGTGTTTGACTGTTTGGTAAGTCTATTGTTACAGTTTTGCTCTATTTTTTTTTTCTCTTTGTAAAATGGCTTTAACTTGGTTAGCTTCGTCCTAAACCAGGAACATTCTCTGGTTTAATCCCGGCCAGGGCCTTCCTTCTTCATTCTTGAATCACACCACACCAACAAGATTTTTTTTCATATTGCCTGAATAGCGCTGTTGCCTTTACTCAAATCCGAACCATTAACCGAGGCATTAGAGTGAAACGCCGATGGCCGTGAGGGCTCTCCTACTAGTTTCAAGGAGAGCGGAGACGGAGAAGGTGAAGTTTCAGTTTCATGTCTTATCGCCATTCCAATGCTAAGCTGAGACATACCAACAAGCTCGTCCATGTTTACACGCTCTTTAGGAAAGCCAGGTTTTGGTCTTAGCACCTGATGCTGCTGAGGAGAAGTCTCAGCTTCTGTTCCCTGAAGTGAAGTGGAAGTTGCAGGGAGCCAAATTGTGTAAGTGACTGGAAAACAAGGAGGAAAGAAGCCGCCTGGGACTAGCATTGGCGAAACCCCGTTCGATGGTTCAATGGCTTCTTCTGGTTTTTCCTGTGGTGGCGGCGCAGTGGCTGCAACCGCTTCACACTCAGTGGTATTGTTGAGTGAGAGCTCTAGTGAAGGAAGGTAGGTTTTGCTTTCAGGTTCCTTGCTTGGAGAGGAATGGTTTAAGGTTTGATCTTCTTGTGTTGGCGATGAATCAGTTACCTGAAGAAGGCAAAAACAGAGGAATTATTTCAACAAGTTCTTGGAGTCTATCGAATAACACAAGTCAAGTCATGAAGAGATGTTGATGATGATGATACAAACCATTTCATCTGTAACCATGTCGAAGAGACTAGAGCGTCTCTTCCTGCGGCTAGAACAAGTATGGCGGATGAAATACTTTTGAGCGTGACTAGCCACTTGTGTTGGAGTTCTTGAAGTTACAAAGTTTCTTGAAATGCCTCGCCAATCTCCTTTCCCTAGCTTCTGAAGTCCCACTAAGAATAGTCTGTGTTCCTCCTCAGTCCATGGAACTCCTGTAAAACCCAACCATATCAGCATTTAAGAACCCACCAAAGTTTCATCTTTAAAACACATAAAAACATAGACTTTAAGCTCAACAATATGATCCACAAATGAGATAATGCTTTAAGAGACTCAACGATTCAATCTATGTAACAACCAATAGCAATTTCAACACCCATCAAGTCTCACAAACATTGATAAAAATCATCTCTTTAATCACCAACGAATGAGACAGGGAACTCTAAAGTCTAAACCTTTAGAGCAATCTCAGTTTTAAAGTTTTAATCTTTGCTATCGACTTGCAATCAGACGAAGCCGGATTTTCAGAGGAACAACAATCGATGACAAAATTGAAAATGTCAGAGGTAAATCGATTTGCTTTACCTCTCTTCCTCTCTCCACGACGGTGAATAGACCCAGAACAATGAGCTGGATCATCGGATAAGTACCCTTCGTTATGTTGATTGGAGTATCGTGCGTGATCCGATAACGGCGAATCGTTGTGATTAGACGTCGCGAGAGGAGACGACGGAGATAAACGGTGGTGCGCGGCCGCCGCCGCAACGGCCAATGCCGAGAGATTACCCATACTCGCACTCTTTTTAATAATCGACCCATCCGTTAACCTGACGCCGAACAGCTTCACGGCGGAGGAGGAAGAAGATCCTCCTCCGACGCCGGTTCCACCGCACGTGCCACCCCCACGAGTCGGACACGTGCGAGAATTGTGACCATTGTTGCTACAATGCGAACACCGACGAGTCATTCCGCACAACAAGACAAAACAAACAAACAAAAAAAGCGAAACACTTTTCGTAATAAATGCTCCGTTAATAGTTTTTTTTTGCGTATACACAAATTGGATTGAGATAACAGAGAGATGAGTTAAGTAATTGCAACCATGGAAAAAATAAGGAAGAAGAAGATGAGGATTTGTTTTGGATTTCTTATGGAAAGAAGAATCAAGGGTAATTTCGGTATTATAAGAAGAGAGGATTATGGTGGATCATACGTTGAATTCGTGTTTAAATTTACTAATTATAAGCTTTTTTTTATTTATCTTATCTTACCTGGAGATTTTCGTTTATGACAAAACAACTAACAGATTTATATATCTTCTCGTTCTCTTTGTTTACTGGATAATCTTTTTTTTTTAATAATAGTAACAATGTTACCGACAAATTCAGTTCTGATAACCAAAGATAATCGAAATAATTGATTTTTTTGTGATGTGAGGATAATATTATTTAACCTAAATCTGTCCCGAAACGCAATAAACTATACATTTCCGCTTAATCCACTTGTGAAGCGATCTATCCACATATTACACGAAACACGTTTTTAACACCAAGTGGTCTAGATTTAAAGGTATGAGATATTATCATAAAAGCACTCATCAATCAATCCTTATCACATATTACAAGAGACACGTTTATACAATCATACTCCATAGATTCAATGTAGACTTATGTACTTCTTTATTTGGCATGAAATGTGATTGAGGTTTGAACAAAGCTTTCATAAATCAATCAATATCATAATTTCCTTTCTTTTTTTTGGTCTATCAATGTAGTTTTCTTAATTTTCACGTCCTAAAAATAAATAAAAATCATAGTGTCATTACACTTTCAAAGCCTCTACCTTTGTTGGAAGTTTAACATTTTAATTCCAAATGCAAACATGAAAGCAAAAAACAGAGTAAAACCCACCAAGACAGCCGCAACTGGACCCATGAAATTCGGGTCAAACCCGAATTGGTTTTCGATGTACCACTTTATCGTCGGATCCTCCGTCATACCCGGAACTTTAATCGTGTCCTCCACGTCACCGTACTGCGAAACAATCAATCCGTACACAGTCCAAGCCACTGGACAGATCCAGTAGTACCATATCCACCATTTTGGAATTCTCTGCACCAAAGTCGTAAAACAACTTATAACAGAAGGAAAAACAAAGCTTTCTTGCGAGAAAAGTAACCAGAACTAACCGATTTAGGGATGAGAAAACCGGAAAAGAGGTTGAAAATTCCGTAGAAAGCTCCGGCGAAAACAGCTGCGACTTGCTGGTTTGGTGTGACGGCGACAGTCATCATCCCGTAGTATGTAAAGTAGAGGAAGGAGAAGAACGACACGAAGAAAAACCACAAGAACTTGGCCACTGTCCATTCGAAACACACCATTGTGTATACAATTAGTGTATAATACGTATTTTGGATCAGCACGTACGGTATTTCGCATACCACCTGCAACCAACCATTGAAAAAAAAATTCTTGTTAGATACTTGAACTACTATTACTCAAGGTTTCTTGTTTGTCAAGTAACCAAAACCGGTTATAATCTAATCTCACCTGTGCTAGGGCATAGGGCACAGCAGAATACATTTCAGCAGCTCTTTCTCGATAGAACACAGTTCGTTCCACAGCTACGAGTGGTTGAACAGATGTGGAGTTATTTATTCCAACGAATAAAACGGCAGCGTACATTGCTCCAATAACCTTTGTAAGATCATTCGCATTGTCCCTGTTCATACAAGAAATTGTATAAGGTTTGTATACAGGTCTGGATTCGATTTTAGGTCTTTTGAACAAACCTTTTTGTGCCAACTCTCCAGAAAATTGTTCCGATCATGAGAGCTGCAACCAGTGTAAAGAAGAATCTGGCTAAATTGTAGTCAGGAGTTCTCCAGTAAGTAATCCACTGTTTCCACAGACAAGATTTGAATTGTCCAAAAAATGATTGTGAGAACTGCGTAGAGAAGTAGAGATCTTTTGCTCCTCGTGGCGGTGTGCTTAGTTCCTTTACAAGTTTCTTGTTTTGTCTACACACCAAGATCATTTCCAATAATTAGGGTAAACTCTTGTGCAAATGATTAGATTATTGAGTCTTATAATGCTTAACTTACTGATATAAGGATGTTGTTTTGTAATGCTCAGCAAAATCTATCTTGAGTTTTGCTTCTGCTGCCATTGAGCTCACTTCTAGCATCCATGTCGCCGGATTATACTTCTCTTTAATCACCGGAACTCCATGAATTGCCTGTAATTTTCTCAAGAAAATTGTGCTCATGACCTCAAGTAATGAGATTCCTATATATCCAAATTTAGAAACTAACCTGGAAATATTCGATAATCTTGTGGGAGTTTCGGCCTAAAGGACCAGCGTAAATCACTTGCCCTCCTCTCTTCAGAAGAAGAAGCTCATCAAAAGCTTCAAAGATATCAATGCTAGGTTGGTGGATTGTGCAGACCACTGTCCTTCCTGTGTCAACCGTGTTCCTCACCGTCCTCATCACAATGGCTGCAGCCCTAGCGTCAAGTCCAGAGGTTGGCTCATCCATGAAGATTATTGAAGGATTCGCCACTAACTCCACAGCGATTGTTAGTCTCTTCCTCTGTTCTGTTGATAACCCTGTGATCCCTGGAAGTCCCACGATCGCATCTTTTAGACTATTTAGCTCCACTAGCTCCATCACTTCATCAACAAACCTCTACAAAAGTTTTGCGTGTATGCATGCGTTAGTCTATGGCTAAGATTTTATCTTAAAATGGTATGAAGTTACAAGGAAGAGAGTATAACCATTTTCTCATCTTTAGTGACTTCTTTTGGGAGACGAAGGAAAGCAGAGTAAATGAGAGACTCTTTGACGGTGACTTGCGGCGAATGGATATCATTCTGTTCACAATAACCAGAGATCCTTGCAAAAGTGTCTTGTCTTTGAGGGAAACCTGAGATTCTGATGTCTCCTTCAATGTATCCACCGGTCTTCCTACCCGCCAAAACATCCATTAGAGTGGTCTTACCAGCTCCACTAACTCCCATCAGAGCTGTTAACACTCCTGGCCTAAACACTCCTGTCACTTCGTTTAAAAGCTGAAGCTTATCCTTGCCAACTTCTTGTTCCTTCACTTCCTGTTTTGTTCATGGTTAAATAACATTTTTGTTCTTGTTTCAACAAAGATTTGGGATTTGGTTTTACCTTAGGCATGTCAACGTAGTAGTGAATATTGTCGAAGGACATTGTGAGAGGGGTAAAAGGTAGAACCATTCCTTTTTTAACATAAAAGCTCTTACTCTCTGAGCTATCCTCAGCTCTGTTTTCTTCTGCATTCTCTTTAGAAATGATGGCTTGCGTCTTCTCAAGTGCTATCATAATATCATGAAAACATGATGTTAACGTAAAGAAGTGTCAATGTTCATGTTTTTGTTTTACATATGAAAACCAATTGGCTATGAGTAAACCTTACGGTTTAAGAATGTAAGAGCGAGGGTGACTAGGACATTAAAGAGAATCGCGAACCCGAGAATGGCTCCTACTCCGATCCAGTACCAGATTGGATCCGTGAATACGTCAAAAATCTCAAGAACAGCCAACCCTAACGTCGTGGAATTATCGGAAGACTGCCAAGGGAAGTATAAGATCTTTGTTTAACTAATCATTCAGTTTAAAAATAAAAAATAAAGAACATTTTTAATAAACAGTAGCTACCCGTTGATCCATCCATCTAGGAGCAAGCATTTCATTGACAGTCAAAGCATCGAAAGTGTAAGTCATTGGTGAAACCCAATAAGCCCATTGCCACCATACAGGAATCTCACCTATTAACAACCATCATCAAAACATAAAAACCTTAGAAATTAGTTTATTGGTGTTTTTTATGTATAAAGGTATATATAATAAAACCTCTAGGAATAATGAATCCTCCAAGCAAGAAGAGGAGGAGAATCACTAGAGATCCTCCTGTGTTTGCAAGACTCATCGATCTGCAAGTTACCGCAATGAATCGAAAAATACTACCAGCCATTTGCTGTGTCAGAAATATCACCAACAAATGCTTAAAGAACCTGCCATAACACAAAAACAAAAACAAAAAAATGTTTATAGATTAACTTTTGCATTGATTAATGAACTTGAACTTAAACTCAAGTCTCTAGTGATGTTTTGCAGCTTTAATCACCATCACTAGATAACTATATGTAACAAGTTAACATTTTGGTGGTTCAAGAATGATAATCACCTGCTGGGTTCTGGAGAAAATCCGATCAAAAAATAAGTGATGCTGACCCAAACAACGGATTCGAAGATGGAGACAGGAATGCTCAAGAGACACGTTGGGAGCGTGAAGGTCCAAGAAGGGTGAAACAAAAGGTCTCGTTGCTTGTAAAACACGGGAAGTCTTTGAATCATCAAAGCAAGCTCCGAGAATCCATTGAACATGTTGGCGATCATTGAGAACATCAACGCACCTACGTAAACGGATCCGTCACTC